AATCGTTTTTACTTAAGTCGTTATTGACGCACTTTAATTTTTTTTTAAATTGTATTAGAGTAGTACTTTAATATAATGTAGTAATTTTGCGTGAATTGCATTTGGAATACATATTTTTTAATGTGAGAAATTGTAATTCGTAAGAATGTCTATTTCAGGTCTGTTCGCTTCAATATTTTAAATTTCATTTCTTTCAAAAACTTACGCGAATATATATAAAGTGTTATACATTTCTAATAAACCCATAGTATATAGATTTTAAAGCAATTATAATGTTGTGGATTGTTTGATTATTTTTCTATAAAAAAAAATACAAAAGTGAGGGGAAAAAAAGGTACGCATTTGAAATTCATCGAGACTTTTGACAGTTACCGATGTCTCCCGGTGTTTTACATTTAGTGTTGTTTAATAGCTCACATATTCATAAATAACATTTATAAAAATCAGCTGCGGACACATACGGAATTACAAGTTATCGCGAAAACTACGATATAAGTCAAGTAACGGAAAACCGCTATCTATTGCGGTTTCTTATGTTGTACTATTGAATTGATTAGTTTGCGGTATATTTCAATAAATTATAGGTATATTTATTGATAACAGGGCGTTTTGTCTATATTTTGCACTTATTTTGTGGGACTACTTTAATCAACAAAATGCACACTACCCTCATTTATGAAATTATATAAGAAGAGTGAATTAATTTAATAAAGCTATTACAAATTGATAATAAAATTAAACAGACGTTTGATTGTTACGTATCATCACTGAATTTCAAAATGTCAAATTCTTTCAATTGTTCCAAGCGTGAATTATTACTCTCATACATTGAAGGAGGGAAAAAACTTGAAACCCTATCAACAGTTGTAAAAGAAAACTATCATGTTTCTGAAGACAACATGTGTTTTATTATCAGTTCAAAGGAATCTCATTCCTTCCTTCTTTTTTTTTAAAATAACGCACACACTCAACATAGCCCCGCACTAGGGAAACCCTGTGTGGCGGGTGCCATGGACACACACCTAGACAACCACAAATTACACCCAAACTCACGAGAGAAATAAATGTAAGCCATACAAACATTTCTCCCGGCCCGGGAATCGAACCTGGGACCTCTGCGTGGCAGTCCGGCATGGTAACCGTTGGGCCACGGAGGCAGTTATTTATTTATTTTTATATATTCCTTCCTTTAATAAACGATGGGCAGAAGCGTCCAGGAAAAAGGATTCGTTTCTAAAAAAGAACGAAAATTGGTTGGATTCTGAATATTTGGTAACCTTACCGAGCATTGAAGTAGTAACACCTGACATCACGCCATCTACTTCTTCTGGAAAACGTGGAAGACCCTGTGTCTCTTATGGAGACTCATCAGAATCAACCAAAAAACGAAAAAATACCGCGCTATTTAGTGAAGATGGCTTTGAACACATTTGCAATGCCTATGTTCAGGGCGTTCAATAAGAGAAGAAATAGAAGCAAAACTCGCCGTGATGATACAAAGTTTCTATATTTGAATCTCATAGAAAACGCAAGCGAGAGCAAAATGCTAATGGATTAAGAAGCATTGAGCGTTTTCATTTACTTAGATTTAACGAAAGCACAATATATATACTTAAGGAATTTAACAAACGATCGAGACTGTGTTCTATTCTCACCATTTTATAAAATACAAGAAATCAAACACACATGTTATCCACCATCAACAGCAATAGAAATTACAAATACACATGCAAAAGTACTAAACCTTCAAGATTTATTGGACCACACTGTAGCTAGGATTTTGGCCATAGATTCGGTGTATAAGAATGGATTGTGTCATTTAGTTTTATACAGTTAATGGGGATGTGATGGTTCATCTGGTCAAAGTCAGTACAAACAAAAACTTCCAGAGGAGTCTGAACTTGTTTCTGATGCAAATTTTTTTATTACGTCGTTAGTGCCTATTAAATTAGTCAATGAGCTTACTGGCGACATTGTCTGGCAAAATCCAGTGCCATCGTTAGTCCATTTTTGTCGGCCCATATCGATAGAATTTTGTAAAGAAACTCCTGAAAAAACTAAAGCTGTTGTTGATGAAATAAAGAACCAAATAATTTCCTTGCGGCCATCATTAATTAATAAAGAAGGTGAAGGAGTGAATGTGAAGCACGAACTCTTTCTGACTATGATAGATGGCAAAGTAGCTCAAGTATTAACAGATACACCATCTGGATCTACGGAGTAGCTCCACACTCCACGGCAAATGAATGATCTGACTAAAGTCACTAGTAGGCCAGAAAATGAAAATGCATATCAATACGGACTTTCCACATTGCATACCTGGATTCGTTGTAAGGAAGTGGTATTACATATCTCATATAATCTTTCTTTTCGGACATGGTCAGCCACAAGTGAAGAAAAGAAAAGACAAAAGCAAGAAAGGAAAACCCTAGTACAAAAACTTTTTCGGGAGGAACTAGGATTGATCATCGACAAACCACGACAAAAAAGTAGTAATACCAATGACGGTAATACTGCTAGACGATTTTTTCACAACGCAAATTGTTCTTCTGAAATCACCGAATTGGATGTGAATTTGATCAAAAGGTTGTATATTATTTTACAAGCTCTTTCATCAGGCGTAATGATAAATGCAGAAAAATTTGGCAAATATGCCAGGATTTATGTAAGCAATTATGAATGGTACTACATGCCATCTTCAGTACACAGAATTTTGATTCGTGGTGAAAGTGTCATTAAGCATTTTGGTGTAATTCCTATTGGTCAACTTTCCGAAGATGCACAAGAATCCCGTAATAAGGATTATAAAAAATTTCGCCTACATCATGCCAGGAATTGCTCTCGATCAGCTACAAATGAGGATGTATTTCATACTCTTCTCTACACATCAGATCCGTACATTTCCAGTCTTAGAAAAACATATAGCAAAAGTGTGAAGGCACTTGATGAAGATACCCTGGATCTTTTAAAAGTGAATGAACTCATTTTGGATCCTGAAGTTCAACAAGTATAATAAAAAATAATATACACATTGACATACATACATTTCTAACATTATTTTACTTTTAAATTAGTATTTTGTAACTTTTTTTACTATACGTGTTAGTAATCTTATAACTTTTAATTTCTTAATTAAATAGATAAGAGCTTAAACATGACTGTTTTTTTAAAAACTAATGTAACAAGGTAAGTTTGACAAGTCCCATGTGCCTGTAATTTCTCCAGTACCCTTACGATTCAAGACCGGGATGTAGTAATGCTTACATTACTGCTGTGACGATGTGATCTCCTTACGCCGTCATCCCACCTTTTTATCACCTTGTCTCTGGTTCCTGGCCATTTGTTTTCAAATTTTGAATCGATTTTTAATTCCATTGCCTCGCCATTCTCTTTTTGTTTCGTTTCATTGTCACTCCCTGCTCCTTCACGGTAGCGAGCAGTTCAGCTATAATTCTTGATTGCGCCTAATGTTGACCCTTTTACCAGTTTTCAATCTAAATCATGTGCCAATTTTAATGTTAATACCAATCGGTAATTCTGTACAACTCGGCCCTTTTGGGGTAAATGTCTACTTTATATTCGTCGCCTATCCGTATGTAATTAAGTTAGGGAGTTTTTATAGAATTGTACCTGTTTTTAAAAAAAGGAGGAGGTTCTCAATTCGACTGTATGTTCTTTTTTCTTTTTTTTTTGTATGTATGTTACGCGATAACTCCGGTATTTGTGAACCGATGTTCATGATTCTTTTTTTGTTGGTAAGGGGGTACTTCCATAGTGGTCCCATTTCATTTTGAAGAAAATCATCCACCTCGAAGGGTTCACGCATGAAGATTCATTTTTATAAATAACGCCTAACTTTAATTTAGGAGCAATTATTTTGCTATTTCTTCCATTCAAGGCGTTTTTCTTTCAATATACTTGGAGCAGTGTCGTAGTGAGAACCTATTTTTATTATCTCCAGCGTCAGGTTCTGTATAGTGGCGAACTAGGGGATATTGCAATAAAACTTAGCAAATAGACGTAATTCCACGTACTTTTGAGGTCGGTTTTTTAGTACTCTGTACTGAGATTATTTATATACTTTTTTCTTGTTACAACCTTTCTTTCCTTTCTTTTCCTTTAGCTACCGAATACATTTTCGTGATTCTGGTTACAGCACATTAGGGTTTACAACCTTTTCACTGCCTGACGGCGGAAATCGGTAAGGTGACAGTGACAGTACTTCCTTGGAGGAACTCTTTTACAAGGAGCTCCACTGCTATTAGATTGGGGTTCGAAGTCTGGGGTCCATTATTGTTTTCGTGTGCTTTAGTTACTTACACTGGGATCAGAGCAACGTTTGTGTTGTTGTCTAATATTTATTTATTCATTACCAACTTTCTGTCTAAAAGGGAAATGTTATCAGTCTTTCTGCCGGTAAGCAGTAATTTGAGCATTAATGCGTTACGGATTTGAAGAGAATAGTGCTGGTAAATTACAGGCAGACGAGACTTGTTATCTTCTTGGTCTTCAATTCTCAAAATGTGTTTTACCAGTTCATTGTATCTACTTATTGTAACAAACATAGTCAAAGTCAAAATGTCATATTTAAGCTACTACTCGTTCACTGCGCTGACTTCCCTGAGAAGAACGAGCGAGAAACTCTGGATCTAGTTTTTAAACTTAGGAAATGATAATCTTAATATATGTATGCTCCGGAATCTTATTGTAAAAACGTATACAGTTCTCCATAAATATACAGGCCAAATTGTATGAAATAAATGATTATTATTATTATAAAAAATGACAAGTCCATCTTGTTCATCCACTTTCCCTTCTTTATTACAAAATGATTTTATTAAATACTTTTCAATAACAAAAGTAACTGACCATTGAAAATTTAAAAAAATATTCGATGATAAACAAGAAAAATCACCTGACAATTGATATGACGTTAACATCAGAAATTAATTGCACAAATACTCAAGAACTCTGCATAACAGCAGCAATACTTAAGCACCCTTAAAAATGTGGGTGCCTATTGTAAGAGGAAGATTGTTATCTCTGAGGCAAGTGGTAAACTCGCTTTATACGAGAAAATATGCAGGTAAACGGGGTAAGTTAAAACATAAACAGGTTAATTGGCTCACTTATTGTGCGATATTTTTTTAAGCATTTTTTTATTGCTTACCCCATAATTTAGTAACGAACTCCTTACGAAAGAGTTCATCCGGGGAAGTACTGCCGGTTGGACTGCCACTTTATCTATTTCTGCCTCCAAGCCCTAATGTAAACGTTACTGCGTTCCGGTTTTGAAGGGTACGGGTGCTGGTGAAATTACAGGCACATGGGACTTGTCAACTTATGTCACAGGTTGACGGGCGCACTGGCATTGACTTATACGTACTTTTCATACACTTTTTGAATGTGTAAATATGCCTTATTATACCTTATTTTAACCAAATACTTTCTGTGAATATACTCTTAATCTGGTTATTGGATCCCACCACAAGTTAGATATCTCATATTATGAACATTTTTACACACTCTATTGGATTTTAACGAAGATCCTCGATGGACTTTTTACCTTAAAAATAAAGTTTACAGTACTCGACAATGGTCCAAGGTAGCGAGGCATTCTGGATTTTTGTTTTCTATTCCTCAGATCAATGCGATGCCCACATGAACGAGCTGCCAATTCCCTGCGGCCCGTGGGACATTTATTATAAAGATAGACAGGCCTTCTATAATAAAATCCTCGCCGGTGGGGCTATTTGGTAAGTCATCTTATAATCAGTTATACATAAAACTTAAATAAAATAAACCTCCGATACAAAACAGTTTACTCCAAAAAGTGGTAGTTCTAACCGTGTAAGCATAATTATTATATTGAATTATAGGCTTGACGGCACAAACAAAAGTAGTGAGTGACATTTTTGTGTGTAGTACTACTTAAGTAGGTACCTATTGCCTGTATGAACGGGTTAAACATCTAAACAGAGGCTTTAGTGTAAGTTTTTATATATCGACTGTACTGGCAATCGGTACTATCTCAATTTTGACAACGTTACAGGACCAAGAAAAAAATTGTTTGCGTCATTTAAATAGCATCTGGTTTTTTCAATAAAAATACGTAGTTTTTAAATATTTTTATTACACATGTATGTATGTACACACATCAAAAGTGTCTAGGGATCAAGTGAATATTTTTGAAATAAAAATTATTTAAGCAATATTTACCAAATCCAGTCTTCCAGGACGACTTCTTACTTTAATGCTTATGTTTTATTTAACCGTTTACCCCTATATTTAATTAAAATAAACTAAAATTGATGTTTTTGCAAATTGTGGGAAAAAACTCAAATTAACGGCGTCAATGAAATGACAAAAAAATGGCGAAAATCATGATTTTGCTCATTTTTATTGTAAAGATAAGAAAATTAATAATCTGTATTTCCACCATTAACACGAATCACACAACTACAGCGATTTGGCATGCTTAAGATGAGTTCATCAAAATCACTTTGAGGAATGGCCGCCCATGTGTTTTGTAACAAGTCAAAATATTGTTGTAGAGTATGTACGGTATGCATACTCGGCACTGCTCTTTTTTGAATCATATCCCATGCGTGCTCAATTGGATTGAGGTCTGGCGATTGAGCAGGCCACGGCAGAACGTTGATACGAGCTTCGGCAAGAATGCGTGTTACGACTCTAGCCGTGTGTGGACGTGCGTTGTCATGCATTAGTTGAAATGAATCACCCAACTGGCCTCGCAAAGGGATGATAACATCTGAAACAATCCTCTCTGCGTAAACTTGAGCATTGAGGTTACCCTTGATCCAAATGATCCAGATGTTCTCCAAACTCGAGTACGTCTTGTATCCGGTCTCATACCGAAGCGGGATTCATTCGAAAAGCACACATAGCGCCAGTCTTCTTCCTCCCAGTTTCTGTGTTCGCGAGCCCATCGTAAACGGGTCCTGCGATTGCAGGGTGCAATAGGTGGAACTCTGAGCGGTCTTCGGGATCGCAGACCCACTTCACGTAAACGATTTCGGATTGTTTGATCGCTTATTCGCAAGCCTGAGGAGCTGTGGAGCCTCGTAACCAACATCATGGCGGTCATGGTACGATTCCGTCGAGCAGTATTTTGTATATACCGGTCCTGTCTGCGAGTCGTGATGCGAGATCGTCCTCCATGTCGCTCGGCCACGCTGCCCGTCATGCGATAGCGCGTCCAGAGGCGACTTATGACGCTCTGTGTAGTGTTAAGAGTGAAAGCCACAGCACGTTGCCTGGAACCAGCTTCCAACATTCCGACGGCTCGCATCATTACTTCTCGGGTTAAATGATGTCGTCTCTCCATAATAATGTAAATTGTTTCGGTTCCCATGCAGATATTGTAATGATTTTGTCAAAACGCTATAACTCATTTTTATATAAAACCACATTGACAATCGATTTTCTTCTTATTATCGAATTTTAAACAATATTCCTTATTTAAATGTTAAAACTCACTAAAAACTATCAATAGCGATACAAAAAAGTTAATATAATTAACCCTAATTGCAGCAATACTCTTAAACGTACTTGATCCCTAGACACTTTTGATGTGTGTATGTGCACTATGTATTTTTATTTAATAAACCAGACGCTATATAAATGATTTTTTCTTCATCCAGTAAAGTTGTCAAAATTAAGATAGTACCGGTTGCCAGTTCACAGTCGATATGTAAACTTAACTATCGCGTTTCCGTTAAGATTTTAATTTAAACCTTATGAATATACAATTAAGATAAAAATAAAAATCTTAACGCAAACGCAGTAGTTACGTTTGAATGATTACAAATTTAGACTCAGGCCTCAGATATTCACCGAAAACTGTTACAAAGCGCCACGCATGACCAGCATAGTAACTGTTCGGCCACTGAGGCAGTTCTATACTTTTTCAAATAGCTTTGGTTGATTCCGCGTGTGATGATGTAGGTACACTGATTAGTATACACGATTCCTGAAAATTTTCACAATAGAAAAAATACACAAACTTACCTCAAAATTTTACAAGAAAAACGTTGTATTAAATATTGTTCTTTACATATTCTAATACTTTTAATATCAACTGAACTAAATAGAACACGTATGCTATACGACATTTTTCAAATGGCTTTGATATCGTTTATTAAAAGAATAAATTCGGCAATAAAGACAGTGTCTCTGTCTCAAACGTACCAATGAATCGTATTACCACGGGAAAAATTTGAATTAGTTAGTATTGACACTTGGGCTCAACTCACACTGGCGCAGAGCCGAAGCGTCGCGTCGCGGCCTGTTTTTGTTTAATAATGGGAAAATAGATATGAATATGCTACATGCGAAAAACATGACGCGTCTCAACGCTTCGACTCTGCGCCAGTGTGAGTTGAGCCTTAAGAATATTTTTTCGAATTTAAATCGCGTATATTTCTTCGTAAATGTCTTTCAAACGAAATGCTTTCAATATTTTTCAGGTGGACGATATCCTTAATCTTGATGGTGTGGTCTGGCAGTTTTTACCTCAACTGGGCTCCACCATTGAACCCCGGTCCCCCGAGTGACATGGTGGATGAGTGCCAGGACGATTCCGAATCTTAGTAACCTGTTACATATCGCACCCCTCGTTAAATAATGGCATAACTCTATCGACTAATATTGTAGATAGAGTTCCAAGAATTGAAGAGGATTTGGGGTATCTTTTTCTGTATCTAATGGAACAATAAACATTTTTGACGTAATTCCACTTATGCCATTATTCCATGAGGGGTGCGATATGACGTGATATGCCGAAAGTCGTATGAATAAATTATTGTTTCAGTTATTTAATGCTTTATTTATTCCTAAACCTAGACGACATGTAGACTTTTATTTCAACGCAAGACTACATTTTAGGAGGTGAGGTGTGGGGAACCACCCCTCACGTTCCGCAACCCGCAGGTGGAGAAATTTTGATACAGAGCCGACGTCGACCAGCGCCCGATGGCAAGTGACTGTGACAGTGACGCGTCGTTAAACTGCTGGGCAATTTTCAAATTTTGAGATTAACGTGAATTTAATAAGGTTCTCTGCAGTACTTAAAAATAAATATCTCCATATAAAAATTATGTGCAAAGTTAGATATATTAGTCTTTTATAATATCTAGTGACGGGACAAACTGTCGGGCGCCTGATAGTAAACTATAAGCCCGTCCATAACAGTTGCAGTGCCAGTCGGAGATTTAAATCGCATAGATCAGATCTTCACTTCGGGCACTGTCATTACGCCCGTTAACCTGAGACAGAAATTGACAAGTCCCATGTACCTTTTTTTTTTTGACGGGGAGGAAATCTTTATGGATACCCCTGAGCCCAGGGAGACTCAGGGGTTATGTGGGGACTCTCCCTCCAGACTGGAGGGCCTACCCCACTAAAACCCCCCCGGGTTTCCCTCTCGCCGGTTGAGTCGGGGCGCCGTGGGATCAGTGAGCATTCACCACGACGCCGCCCGGCCGCCCTAGCTTACGCCAGGGCTCCCGCGCCAACGGAGGGGCGAGTCGGTTGTCCTCCGACCCGCCCCCCAGACGAGTGAGGCCGTGCAATGCAGGCTCCGGAGTCCCTGTCCAGAGCCCGCTGGTCTCACTAGGGGACCAGGCGAGCAGCGAACTGCCTTCGCCTTCTCCCCGTACGTCTGCGCCGGAGCGGGTGCGCGTCCGCCGCGTCCTCGCGCACCCGCTCCGCGGCCTCCTTTTGCGACATAACCTCTGCGCAAAAGGAGGCCACCGCCTCCCAGGACTCCTCGCTATCGAGCATGGCGGCAACCACGCTCGGCAGCGAGAGGTCCTGCCCTACAGTCCCCGTCAGAGTGCGGCGCTGCTCATCCCACCGGCTACACACCTCTAGGGTGTGCTGCGCGGTGTCATCCGCAGCGCCGCACTCGTGGCACGACGGGGACGGTTCCCTCCTCGCCACCTTGTGCAGGTAGTGACCGAAGCAGCCGTGCCCGGTCAGCACCTGCACAAGGTGGTACGACAGTGGCCCGTGGGACCGGTTTACCCACTCTACGAGGACAGGGCGGATCACCTCTATGGTACGAGCGCCATAGGGGGGATCCGCCAAGCCCTCTTTCCACCGGTCCCGCATGCGCTGCGCCGCGAGGCGGCGCTCCCGCTCCACCTCTTGGAGAGCGGGTCGCTCGCCTCGGTCCCTCATTCCCCGCCGGTAGGTGCGGACCTCCGCCAGGACCTCGGCTTCGAGGTCCCACGGCGGAGTACCGGCGAGGACGCATGCGGCAGCGCAGGCCACCGTCCTGTACGCCCTGCACATTCGCAGGGCGACCACCCTCTGGGGCGAGTCCCATGTACCTGCCACGCAGAGGTCCCAGGTTCGATTCCCGGGTCGGGAAAAATATTTGTATGACCTACATTTATTTCTCTCGTGAGTTTGGGTGTAATTTGTGGTTTTCTATGTGTGTATCCATGGCACCCGCGACACAGGGTTTTCCCTAGTGCGGGGCTATGTTGAGTGTGTGCGTTATTATTATTATTACCTGTAACTTGACCAGCACCATTATACTTCAAAACCGGAACACAGTAATGCTGACATTACTGCTTGGCGCAGAAATAGGTAAGGTGGCAGTACTTCCCTGGACGACCTCTTTCACAAGCTCTACTGGTAATAGGTACCGAAGCAAACAGAATTTTATGTAAATATATATATATATATATATATATATATATATATATTACATATGTATGTTTAAGAGAACCATGTGACCATGGTGCTACAAAACACAGTTGTAATTTGAACCAGTTTTACTCTTCCCAACAATACACAATAGCACACGACTCGTTTCGTTCTCCGCAGAACTCGGAGCTGCCAACTAGACCGAAGCAAATGTCGCTAGAGACTTTAAAAGTCACTAGGTGTCGCTACAACTGTATTTTCGGTCCTTATGAAAAATAAGAAACCTACAATCATTGACTTACAAATAAATGGACGACGGGTCTAATACAAAAACCACGAAAAAAATGTCCCAAGTCAACCTATTCGAAATGTAAATTGTAATGCCATCGCAGTATCGCGCTGTCAGTAGAACAAATGAAGACTAAAGCGGAGTTTGGCGCTCTGTATACGATTTTAGCGCCTTACAAGTTCGGACACTTTTTAGCGCGGACCCGACGTCCATATAATTGTAAGTCAATGCCTACAATCATTGACTTACAAATAAATGGACGACGGGTCTAATACAAAAACCACGAAAAAAATGTCCCAAGTCAACCTATTCGAAATTTAAATTGTAATGTCATCGCAGTATCGCGCTGTCAGTAGAACAAATGAAGACTAAAGCGGAGTTTGGCGCTCTGTATACGATTTTAGCGCCTTACAAGTGCGGACACTTTTTAGCGCGGACCCGACGTCCATATAATTGTAAGTCAATGCCTACAATGGAATATATTATAGTGCATTTACAAAGTCAGGATAATGTCATATTAAATCTTGAAAAGATGAAACCTAATTTAATAAGCGTTAAAAATTGGCTACAATTGTTAAGTCGCCATTTAGAACAGAAGTGCCGTGTACATGTAGTGACAAAGTCGTAAATTTAGCATCTTCACCGGCAGTGGCATCTAGCGGTGAAATTGGTAACCACCAAATTAAAATATCAATGCAAGAAGAGCTTTTATTATGCACACATTGCAACATTACATACCTACGTATTTTCAGTGTTTTATAACTGACAAATTAAATAGGTATATAAATGATTATCACTAATATCAGGTTTTTTACCACGGTATGACTTCTTTTTATTTTCCCGATATTTCGGAACGGTTGCACGCTCCATGGTCACGGGTTGACTGGATGGCGACAGATGACAGCTTTAAGAGCAGACATATCTGTCTACCCTCTTGCGCTGTCGAGGACTACCTTCATCGCGATTTGTTGTGGCGTTACCATTGTCACTCACTTTTTTCACACAAACCTGGAAATCATTTAGTGAATAACCACGAAAGTCTCAAAGACTATATAAATAGATATATGTTAAATAGAATAAATATTGAGGCTTACAATTAAATAGTAGAAGTTCTAGGAAGAATAAATAACTCGCTACCTCTAGCGGCTCATGGGACAAGCACAAAGTAAAGAAAGAATAATTATCTGAAATCTGTGCTCTAAGTCTGAAAATAAGTTACTATACAGTTTCTTACATAAATTGACAGGTATTATTAATTATTAGTGTGTAAATATAATAACATCCTAAGGACTAACATCCTATGGACGTTAAAATGTATGTATAATAATAATATGTAAAGTGTTCAGATGGTTAAGTATAATGAAAATATCGCATTAAAAATATTGGCGCTATATATATATATATGTATTCTTGTCTCTAGAATAAATAATTTGCAAATATTGGTTGCGTTTTTCACACAAAACTGAGTGCATAGGCACTTGCTTGGACTTGTTTAACGCTTTCCCCGTTATAGTTTGCTGGGTTTTAGGAAGTTAAATAGAAAAGTATGATGGTTTTTATTTGGAATGTGGCCAAGCTTTGGGAATTACGTGTAACACATACCCACCCTTATTATATCCACTATGCTTTCCGAAACCATTTCTTATCAAATTTTCATCTTTTCCATTTTCTAAACGAAAGTTTCCTTATTTTGTGTAGCACAAACACTACCCTTGAAATGCCAAACTAAAAAATACAGTGTTACTAGTGGTAGGGAGGCGTGTCTAGACTAGACCCCCGACGTTCTCCGGCCGAAACTCACATTCGCATCATGCGTCCTTTACGTAATTTTTTCTGGTGACTTCTGTGGAATATTTCGTCTTAAATAGCATCACGATAGTGTTTCGCCAACGATGTTGGCAAAATCATGGCGGTTTACGGTCTGAACCGCTGAACCCTCTCTTGGAGACCCGTGATGATGTTAGCTTGACGTCATTGACAGAATGAGACTTAATTGTAAATTATAAAAACAAGATATTTTGCAACGCATACGTTTATTTCCATGGAGAACTTAAAGAATATTGGGTATCCTAACGCAAGGGACTTTGGCTAGTAATTGGGTAAGTTTCTGGTTAGTTTTCTCTGTATTGGTGGCAATTTTTATTTGAATATTCTAGAATATTATCTTGAATGTGATATGTGATGTACGAGTGTAGTAGCCCCGAAATATTATTTACTCAAATACTTAAATAAAAGTGCCACCAAAATTGGGCAAACAAAAGTAACCTGAATATTACCCAAAATTTATTAGCTCGAAAACCTATTATTGTAAAGCCACAACAGAAAGTACAAAATGTAAGAATTGAATTTAGTATAACGTTCGAAGCATTTGCAAGTAATTATTGGAAAAATGTACAACGTTTTTGCCATCATGTGGACTTAATCTACACGTGTAGGTACTCCATCTAGGAGGTACAGAACATCGAAAGTAAATTTCGTACCCCCAATAGTAAAATGACGTAATTTAAAAAATAACATTTCTGGGAAAATGACAATAATTTTTAAAAAATACGTACAAAATAAAAGTAATGTAGCATTTTGAATATTAAATAAAAATTTGTCATATTTGTCAAATGGCATATATGACGTACGGCTGTTGCCACGTACTTTTTTAACTTTTTTGTCACTTTGCCAAAACGGGAATTACGCCACTTCACTTTGTTATTGAGGATGTGGACAAAGAAGCAGATGAGCGTTTCCCTTGCTTTCATGGTGACACTTCACATGACTATGTGTATTTGATATGTTTGGCAAACAATCACCGCGTACATAGTA